TCCTGCTGCTCATACTTGTGTTAGTGGCCTTTCCACTTTGTTGTATAAATTTTAATATCATTAATTAAAGGGAAAGCAATATGCTGGCTAATATTGAGTCACCCAGAAACTATGCCTTAGGATCCTTAAACTTTGAAGAGGCTGACCAGCCATGATGCATGATGCAAAATCCTCAACAAAGACATCTAACTTCCATGTCATTTTGGGATCCACTTTCTTACAAGTTGAAACAAAAATTAATTAGCTCGATTGATGAACTGTAAGAATCTCAATGTCTTCCCATTCAAGAAAATGATAAATTTGTGATGACGCAAGGCATATATGCTTGTAAATTAACTTCTAATATGTCTGCCAAATCCTGGAAATTTTTGTTTTCAGCATTAAGTGGTTCTGTCCATGAATTCTTGTTTCACAGCTGTTATGTTGGTTTTTGTGAAAATAAAATAAAATAAAATTGTATAGGATAAAACAAAGTTATCATTTAATTTTTAGTTTGTGTTTTTTTATTGGAATGATAAATTTTATTTTTGGAATATTTCAGTAATTTATTATGAGGTTCCATGCTTTCGGAATATATATAATACAAAATATACTATTTCAATTTCAATTGAAAAATAAATTAACTTTAAATTATACAATACAAACACAATATCAAATATCTAAATATAATTTTAAATCTTAAAATATTTCTAAATAGTCAAGATTAAAAAATAATAATTTTAAGTAATTTAACACAAATAAAATACCAAAATAATAAGAAAATAAAAGATTTTAATACAAAAAAAATAATAATTAAACACTATTTCTATCATTAACATAAAAATAAAAATTTTAATCTGGTGATGATATATAAAAAAATTATCAAGTAGATGTTTTGGTAGACGATCATTGCCACTAAGTTAATCCTCTTCATTGAAATAAATTATTATTTTTATTTAAAGTTAAAATATATAAAAATATTTTAGTAGTCTTCCCACTTAAATTGTTTGTATTCAGTACTGCACAAATTCATTACTTAAGTGGCTATTTGGTAGCGCGTTTAAAAAGCGATTTCAATTTTTTTTTATTTTTTTATTGAATTAATATATTTTTAATATTTTTTAATATATTGATCTCAAAAATAATTTTTTAAAAATAAAAAATACTATTTATATAATTTTCTGAATAAAAAACACTTTAAAAAACAATCACAACTACAACCACACCAACTCAAACAAATTTTAAGCAAATACACAAACAATTTTTTTAAGAAATAAATTCGTTAAACTGTAAATAGTCCACAAATTTAAATTATTTCTCAAGAATTTTAAACTCCAAAAATACTTCATTATAAAGAAAGGTGACTGATCATTCAATGGTAAGACGACACTCATGTACAATGATCCTAACCCCTTACCCTTATTGCTCTCGGTTGTAAACACAACTATTTTCTTATTTTTGGAAATCTTGGGGCGTTCGGTCCACACTCTTGAAAAGCAAGGACCCTCTAAGCTAATATATCCAAAGCTTAAAGTTAGAACCTCTGGTTAATGAACGCAAATACCTTTTTAAGAGACCAAGACAAAGTGAAGTCCACTTATACTGACCTGTCGGCACCAATCCAACGTGGTCGTGACCTGAAGCCACGTTGAAACCGTTTAGATTTCACACTCAGGACGAGCCATTCTTCTCACCTTTATAAGAAATTCGGAATGATCCGAGATCTTAATCCAGAATTGTGACCATAAAATAATCATGCCACTAAGGATGAATTGTTTGAAGCATTTTTACACAAATCGTTCTCTTAATCAACGATTGTGTTTTAGCAATAAGCGGTAGAATTCGAAAAAGTATAATGTTAGAATGACATAATCACAGGATGAGACTAGATTAAAGCTTGGAGCTGGAACTGAAGTTCAGTACTGGGAACTTGATTTTCTAATTGTGAAGTCATCTTCAGAGTCCTGCGGGGCTTCTGGACAAAGGATGCGAGGTTAACAGGTCAAGTTTAAGGCGACACACATTTAGCCTGTAGGTTTTCCTATGGTGTTAACAGGCCATGGCTTTGGCAGCAGGAACTTCAGTCTCCAGATTTTACTAGTTATTGACTTCCAGCTCACATGCCTGAAAGTTGCGCTATCAGGATAAAAGGATGGATTAAATTGATTGAGTTATGTACGCCTACACCATCAAATCTTAACATCTTATTCAGATTTCTTCTCATTAATGGAGTCGAACCATCCGTGACATTGTCGGTTTCGGAGCTCAAAATCAGAATGATAGCCAATGCCAGACTAATATGACATAAAAAGAGAGCGAACAGTGCAACAATGTGAAACTCAGGCATTGAAACCTGCACAATTCTGAATAGGCTAGACTAGTTTTTGCACATGGATATCATAGCAACTCGCCAAAATGCACTAGAATAAACTACTTGAATCCCTTTTTGAGGAAATTTCCAGAAGCTCTCTTCAACCTTGGAATTCTCTTTATTGTTCTCAACAAACGTCAAATTCTTAGCCCCACCATGGTATCAAACTGGATGGATAGGACTTTCCTCCTCAATTGAGCTGGCACTATTAGGTGGATGACTTGCAGGCATTTGGCTTGACTTTGCCTTTGTATGAACTGCAGATATAGGTGGTGAAATCTCCGTAGTCCTGCATTAGTAGTAGGGTTATCAGTAGCACACTAGAGAGAAAGAGAGAAACCAAGGATTAGGGACTAACCTTTTCGAGTGATTTGTTATTCACGACTACCCAAGGCATAAACACATGAGGCGGATCAAGATGTGCAGTTTCATAACCATTTAAAGCTTGTAGCTGCATATCAATTTGCCTTAAATGTTTAGGCACAATCAACAGGAAAGAACAAGAAAGACATCATAGTGCTACAGAAGAAATATCAGAATTGGGAAATGATGAAGTTAAAAAAGTATTTGATGTTACCTTTGCTCCAGTTCCATTGTTATAACACTCCAAAATAGGTTCTTCAGACAATCCAAGTGAGTTGAAACAAGACTGCCAATCCGAATGCTTTCCATCGATAACAAGGAACTCAATGCAGTGAATCAGTGCATAATATTTGTCCTGCATTAGAGAATAGATGAATAAATCTATTTTCAAATAATTTATTTTGAAAAAATTTGGCAATAATTTTGCTTCGAATTATTATGAACATATGCATAGGGTGATTATAGCCATGGAAGAATGGAAAGGAGGTCCTACCACATCATTCCAGACATTGATAGCGCAGGCTTGAATTTTATGCAGAGAACATTCATCACGACCATTCTGCTGATTTGGTAAATTTAGATTTGCATAAGAGAAATAAAGCTATTACTAGAAAAGAAAAGAAAAGAAACACGGAAATTTTTATGGTGGTTGCACGTCTTTATCGCTATGGTATCCAGCATTAACTGGGCTAACATTTTCTGTTGCCATCCTTCAATGGAAATGACTGTGAAGGCGTAATGCTGATTTTTGATGGTTATAATTTATCCTCTTCTTTCCATCTTGCAAACTCAACAAGGTCGAATACTTAACCATGAAAAAAGAGAGAATGGACCCTCGTTCTTAATGAATGGTGAGTCCACAGTAAATCCTTCACTTTTCTGGTATTCCATTGTCCTGTTTGGAAACGTAGGAGGATCTTACAGATTTTGGCTCTATGAGTTAAAACAATTTTGCTGAGCTTTCCATATAAACAATTCTTAAGCTGCTTCAATCCATTGAGCCTTAAAAGTCTCTCAAGTTTTGGCAATGGCAACTATCATTCCAAATCCAAAGCAGATGGTGATCTCCATGTAGTTGGAAAAAAAGAAAAAAGAAAAAAAAATGGCCCTACCAAAACGCCGTTTAATTATAAAGTACGGGCAGGCAGATGAGTAGATGACAATTTAAATTTAATAGCAAATGAAGATGGAGAAGATGGATATGACCTGACAAATGATGGTGTTGTCTGTTTCGTTGACATGAGCATTACCCCAAGGTACCATCCTGAGATTGGTGATGGTGATGAGATCATCGTCGAAGACACCTGTGAGATTTTGGATAATGAAGGTTGCACAAGATGGGCTTAATGCCTCATAGTAAACAGAGAGGTTAACCATTTGAGAATTGATAGAGGATGCTATCTTGCTATCTTCGAAATCTGAGTGAGAAGCAGCATGAGATGGAGGTAGAAGGGAGATCAAGAACAAAGCAACGATGAATGAGAAGACTAGTTTTGTAGAAGCCATTTTTTTTTTTTTTTTTTTTTTTTTTTTTTATGTTAGCATAGTACGTAGATGTTTCGATCTCTACAGAGTGTCAAGTTATAAAGGTTGTAATTTTGATAATCATTAACGGACAACAATACCCTTAATTAACTTCATATCTATGCTTAAAATACTTTCATTTTCCTTGTACAAAGAGTAGATTAGTTATTAATCTTTTAATTATTTTGTTTTTTCATTTAATTTTAAAAATATTTTCCTTTTATGATATTTTAATTTTTTTTCCTATTTATTTTAGAAAATCAAATATGACACTTGATAAATTTATTTTATCTATTTAATTTAGAAATTATTTAGTTTAGGAATGTTATTTTTTCTTCTTCAATTCAGGCGAGTGCTAGTATAAATAGGGTTGTTGATAAATTAGACTTGTAAAAATTTAAAAAGGGATATGTCATTACTAAATTGGAATATAACACATATATATTATATGAATGGTCTGATAGATATTTTTATGAATTAGTAGAATAGATCAAAAAGATGATAATAGAAGATCCAGTTACTAGATTTTGATCTCAAATTTTTCTAGGTAATTCTATAGGTAGTTTTCCAATTAAGAACCATTTCATTGGTCATTGAACTATTAAATCTCTTAAAATTAGACCTAAGAGTTGATATTTGGATTAATTTTGTTATTTTTTTAATGTTTTTTTGGAATTTTTTATTTTAGATTTGTGTTAATTTTATAATTTAATTAAAAATCATGTAAATCTCATAGAGAAACAAACATTATAGCCTCATTTTATGAAAAAAAAAAATATGAATTTAGGGTTTATATCTGCAACCCCTTTTTCCCAAAGAAAAACCTAATTAAGATTTACAATTTCTAGATTGATTTTGAATAATAAGAAAAACAAAAATGATTGAAAAAGGTGAAATTCACTGTACTGGTATAAATGTTTACATTTAGAATCAACTTGTTTACCTTAATGCGACATTCAAGGTAAACATAATTAGAATTTATAGTTTCTAGGTCAATTTTAAGTTATAAAAAAACAAAGTAATAGATATAGCTTTTTGGCCCGCTAACACTACATATTGGTTTATTTTTTAGGACGTCAAAAACTTGATGTATAATGGCTAAAACACTTTTAAAACACTTAAATGGTGACATATTGAATGATATTTTGTTTTTTAAAAAATATGGAGACGATGACACGTTAAATCAACCCGGGCTAATAATAGTTAACTTATGTAACCCGTAATTTGGGGTATGAGATCGTGATAAAACCATAAAACGCACATCAAAGCAAGTTTTAAAGCCCAATTATAATGAACAAAATATTAAAGGATGTAAGAGGAAAAATATTTAAAATAAGGACCTAAAAAAAGTCACTCAAGTATATTTATATCGGTGATCAGCACAACACTGTGAGCTAAGCTAAATTTTTCCAGACATAAAAGAAACAAAGTTAAGGCGATGCTATAATTTCTATAGAAGTAAAAGAAATTTGAAACTTAAATCATTAAGCCAATCGAGTTTAATAAGTTTAGTTAATTTAATAACATAAAAAAAATTCTAATTTAATAACATTAAAAACCAAGTAAACCCAGGTAAGTTTTCTAAACTTGGGTTAGTCTTTCAAAATTATAACTTGTGAAATCTCAAACTTGAGCTTAATCAGAAGGCTCAATTCTCAAACAAGAAAATAAGTGAAAAAAAAGTCAACCTATATTAACTTATTAAACATATGATTCGAGTCATTTGATCAGAAGTATGAAATTTAGAAAATCTCAAAGCCTAATTTTTAACTAATCAAATATTGAATGATAAAATTGAAGGAAAAAAGAAAAAATTAATCACACAAAAGGATAAAAATTAACAATTATAAACCAAAAAAGAGCTTGAGCCCATCGAGGTCAACCCACCAAATTCACAAGTTAGGTTTTGAGAATAGGTAACATGATATAAAGGAAAATAAAGAAAGTCATGAAACTCAATTTTTTAAAAAAACTATTGTCAGCTTATAAAATATGTGATATAGGTTATTTAACTAAATCACCAAATATAAAAAATTACAAACCTTAATTCTCAATAAACCAAATATTTAAGGATGAAATTAAAAAAAATTCAATCACACAAAATGATAAAAAATAAGAAAGAGTAATTATGTAAACCCTTGGCCTAAAAATCAGTAAATTAGTATTAAATAGAGTAATTTTTAATTGAGAAATAATAAATTAGGAGGATAAATTTTTGTGATTTGGGATTACATCTTAAGTAAATTAACCTAAATTTTGGATGAGATGAAATAATGAATCAGTACATAAAAAGTCAACCTAATAACGAATCATGTAAATTCTTCAATTGGGTAAAATTAATTTTTAAAGGATAATTTTTATAAATTGGGGTGGAAATGCTGGAATTAGCTTATAACTAATATATTGGCTCGCACTCAGCTATAGGTCAATATCAATTTTTTAAAAAATATAAAAAATTTATTAAGAGCATGAAGAATGTTTTAATAATGTTATTAAACATCACCAAGTGTGTTACGTTTTAAATCTCCACTCAATTATTTGTCAAACCCAAACACCTTGGTCTAGAATAAATGTTAAATTCAAGCGTTTTGAATCTAATAACTATACTTAAATAACAAAAGGTAAGCTTGAGAACATTAATTATAACTTATTCTTATTTTCTCTTATTCAATAAAACTAGTAATTGATCTTTTAAATTTTAAAATATAGATTTAGATTAGTTTTTGCACTATTACTTTTTAATTTTATTTCCTATCCAAGTGCCTGAGCCTGATAACTATGTGAGACCTATACATTGATTTTTGAATGCCATACCCAGACCCAAGTGATTTGAGTCTGATAATTATATTTGAATAACAAAAATTAAGCTTGAGAGTATTAATTATATTTTTTTTGGTTCAATAAAACCAGTTAATGGATCCTTAAAATTTTAAAATATAGATTTAGGTTTGCTTTTGTACTGTTATTTTTTAATATTTTTGACCTAAGCATCTAAACTTGGCAACCATGACAGATCCATACGTATATTTTTAAATGTTAGACTTAATTATCTTAGGTTTAATAGCCATACCAGACCCAAATATGGTTGTTAGACCTAAAACGCTTTTACTGGCATACTTGTTAGAACCAAGATGTTTGGGTTTGACGTGATGCCAAACTTAAGATGCTTGGACCTGATATGATTGCTTAACTTAAGGCTCTTGAGCCTAGAATAGTTGATAAACCCAAGTATCTTGGGTCTGGTGCTTGGGATTCACATAGTTTTTGTGAGCTAGACAGATAATTGTTTTGTTGAGGATCAAAATACTCACACAAATATATTAAATGATCTCAAGATATCTAACTAATAATTCTTTATGGAATTCTGATGTATTGCTAAGAAGAAAACTAGACCCAAGAACCTAGACCTGACAACTATGTTAGATCCATGCATCTTTTTTTTGAAAATATAGGAATTCATTTATAATTGTTCTAAAAACATATTTATTTTGTACTTTCATTTTTTTAACAGGTGGTGGTCTCAATGACCGTTGATGGTTGATGAGGGAAAATCGACGACTTGAAGGTTGGTTGGCCGATGACAGTCGCGACCTTTTTCCAGCCAAAATCATCGGTGAAAAAGTGTAAAACGACTGGGGTTTTGCTTCAGAGGAGGCGATGCACCTTTTTGTGGTGGTTTCGCGGCTTGAAACGGCCGGAAATAGGAGATCAGAGGGGAGAGAGAGAATCACTGGTGAGAGGAGAGAGAGAATATGAGTTGTGATACGGTGTGGATGAGTATATGGTGCACCGGTGTGTCTGAAAGCCTGTGAACCGTTAGATTGTGGATGAATAGATCGTGCGGCTGTGATTGGCTTAATCTGCAAGTTGATTGCACGGTCATGATGGATTGGGTTATGATTTGGTGTGTCGTGGTGTACCGAGTGTTGGGTACACCTGATGATGTGGCACAACAGGATCAAAAGATAGATTATTTTAAAGGCTGAGATTGATTTGAGTTTTAATCTGGGGTGGTAAAGCCTATTGTATCCTAAAAAATCAAAGATTTAGATTTAAATACTATTAGATCTAACGATTGAGATATTTTTGGTATTTTTCAATTTGTTTTTTAAAAAATCAATATCTTACTATGAATGAAGAAAAAGTATAACAAAAATGAACAGTGTCAAATAGTAATACTCTCGAATTCAGAATTCATTTTTTGTTTCTCTCCTCATGTGTGTCTTGGTTTTATTGGTTATTTATAGCTAATGAAAGAGGACAACAAATCCTAGATTGTGTAGGTAATCACGGGATTGTGCAAAATTTTCAATATACAGCTGCACTGCCTATCATCGGTAGAAATCCCTCACCTATTGTGACAAAATTGAATTATTTTTTTGTTTTATTATATATAATAATAATATTTATTTATAGGGGTAAAATTAAAAATTCAAATCAATATTATAAAAAGTTTTTCATCTGCTAAAAATCAATTTTAATTAAAAAAAATCTTTATACGGGTATAAACTCGGTGGACCGGGTTTTTTGACCAAAAATACTAGTTTTGACCAAAAATAGTCTAAAACTCATTTTTTCATCGCGGTCGACATGGTGGGACCCATATTGACCCGATGGACTCGATTTTGATAAAAAGTAACGGTTTTGACCCGAAACAGCCCGAAACTCATTTTTTATCCCGGTCGGCATGGTGGGACCCGTATTGACCCGATGGACTCGGTTTTGACGGAAAATGACGATTTTGATCCGAAACGGCCCGAAACTCATTTTTCATCGAGGTCGATATGGTGGGACCCGTATTGACCCGGTGGACTCGGTTTTGACTGAAAATGATGGTTTTGACCCGAATCGGCCCGAAACTCATTTTTTATCCTGGTCGACATCGTTTAACCCGTATTGACCTGGTGGACTCGATTTTGATCGAAAGATGTGGTTGACTCGAGGAAATATATTTTAAACTTTTTTTTCTTTTTTTTATTATGTATATATA